TGCTTTTAGCTTGTATTTATGATATAGAGGGTATTTATTTTTAGTTTGAGTATACATTCTGTTTGATAATATTTTCATATTATTTCAGTTGTATCCTGGTAGGTTTTTATTATTTTCACTTTTCTTGATCATATCATCATTAAGTCGTCTTAATCAGCCCTCCACTGCTCTCAATGAGGTTGCCTCCAATTTTGTTATGAATGTTATTGTGATGAAACTGTTTATATACATATCTATTTGGGATTGTCAAATGATTTTTATAGCTTCATTTCTGTATTTTTCTGTTTATTTCGTTGGCTCTTGATAGTGTGCCATTTTCTACAGTAATATGTGAGAATAAGTTTTCCAGTACCCTTGACAATTTAGTTATTTAACATTTTTTGGGGAGGGGCTACCGAGGATCAAACCTGGGTCCTTGAGTTTTCAAGGAAGACAGCAGAACCACTGAGCTAAATCCCTCGCCTAACAATTTTTTAAAATTTCTTTTCTTTTTCTTTTTTTTTTTCGGTACTGGGGATTGAACTCAGGACCTTGCGCTTGCAAGGGAGGTGCTGTGTCACTGAGCTAAATCCCCAGCTATTTTGACTAATAAAGTATTTTAAAACATTTTATTTCTATAAATTAGGACTAGAAGTTTACTGAAATTTCCCTATACATTTTGTTAATTTTTTGTCCTAAATCATATATATATGTGAAAAATCTCATTTGTATTTGCACAATAAATTGCTACTTCATAATTTCATAATTGCTACTTCCCTGAGAATCTTATTAGCAATGCTGATTTTACAGAATAGAATCTTACAAAATTAAGAAAAGTTTATAATCACTAAGAAGTTTAGCATGCTAAAAGAATTGGGTCTTAATTGGAATTGCTGTGGGACAACATAAATACAACTTCGGGTGGAGAGTTTTGGAAAGAGCATTTTATTTGAAACTAATTGGAGAAGGAATTGCTTTTCCTGCCAGCTCTCAGCAGGCTGCATCCACCTCTTCTCTGTGAGAGTTTTAGCTGCAGTTCTTCTTGTTAGTGTCGATGTAGTTCACTCCAGATCAACCAGCAATCAGAGGAGAAAATCTACTACATGACTTTCTATGCAATTATTAGTTTCCTGTGTATTTCTTTCTTTCACAATATAAAGAAATACTTT